GGAGCCGGGAGGGGGCGGGGTTTGGGGAGGGGAGGGGCCTCCGCAGGGTCCCCTAGAGCCCACCCTTCCAAGCAGCCATCTTCTCCAGGGGAGCTGATCTCTGTCAGCTGGAGATCAGTTGTGAAAGCGGGGGGGGGGATCCCCAGGCCTTACCTGGAGGCTGGCAACCCTACGACGAGAGAGGGGGGAGATCTATCGCTTTGAAGGTCCGGCAAATGTTGCAGATAAGGCCTTGGCCGGGATTGCTCCGCGGGACCCGCGTGGCTTTCCTTCAGGCTTCCTCTCGTCTCCCTGATTTGCAAAGATTTGCCGCTCTGGGGTTTGACACTCTATAGTAAAGTGTCATTCCGGGGGGGAACAGCTGTTACCAGGACGACAGGACCGTAGAGAAGAGACGCCAAGGCTCTAGAGCGACGCCACTGGGTTCGCAGGATATCCTATGGTTGCCGGAAGTGTAGGTTCTGGGAGTATTATTTTTTGAACCGGCTCTAGGATAGAGTCTCGGCGGGACCCTTTCCATCTCTATGGTCTCCCCCACCACCACCTTGCTTAGAGGAGGCTTCGTGGGGTCTCGTTGCGCCTGCGCGATCCGCAGCCTTGGCCATGAGAGTGATAGTCGGTGAGTTCCTCCAAGGAGGACGCGTGCGAGGAAAGGTTGAGATTGCAAACCGAATTTGCTTGGCTCTGTTGCAGACAAGTCCGCAGATTGGGTTGACCTTCGGTTGGCTGTGGAGGGGAGGGGCCGCTTTGAGTGTATTTGATTTATTTAATGCAACAGCTCAGGGCATGGTGCACATCTCTCCCCCCCCCCTTCATTTGAGCGTTGCAACGACCCTGTGAGGCTGAGCGTGTCTGGCTGGTCATGCAATGAGCTTCCGTGGCAGAGTGAGGATTTGAACTCCGATCCTGTTCTAAGCATTGCCTCAGCAGGCAAACCAATTTTAGGCCATAAGAATCTTCTTGACATTCTAGGTTTCAGCTATAATTCTAGGGATCTAATAATTGCACTGCACAGGTGCTCTCTGGGCTATGGAGTTAATACAAAGATGCTGGCTTGTGGTTTATTGACGTTCGTTGTGTCTTTCCATCAAACACATTCACTTGCCATAAAACGATAATACACTGAATGTCAGGGAACCTAGCCTACAATGTTCCCTCTAAGCTGTGGAGTCTTGTGAGCAAAAATTCTACTTTGTGAGCTACTAGCATTAAAGTTGTGAGCAAGTGATTTGGCTACTGAATAAATTAGTTTGCTCTGAAGCCCTCCTTCCTGAGCCAAGACAAAAATCTGTGAGCTGGAGGCTAAAAAACTATGAGCTAGCTCACACCAACTCAGCTTAGAGGGAACACTGCCTACAACCACAAAGAGAGAAATCATCATCATAAGTTAATACAAAGTTGCTGGCTTGTGGTTTATTGACGTTCGTTGTGTCTTTCCATCAAACACATTCACATTGCCATAAAACGATAATACACTAAATGTCAGTGAACCTAGCCTACAACCACAAAGAGAGAAATCAACATCATAACTACCTGATGGAGTCTCAGAGCTTACAATCTCCTTCCCTTCCTCTCCCCACAAGACACCCTGTGAGGTTGGTGGGGCCAAGAGAGCTCTGAGAGAACTGACTGACCCAAGGTCACCCAGCAGGCTGCATGTGGAGTAGGGAATCAAACCCATTTCTCCAGGTTAGAGTCCACCGCTCTTAAACCACTACACCAAATCCACATCCCTAAAAATTTACATCCCTAAAATCACAATTGGCTATAATACAATAACGCAAAACAGCATCCAGGATCTTGGATAGATGACAGTGTGCCATAATAAACAAAATATGGCTGCTGTACCAAATTTGACCCTGCAGAATACGTCGATGCAGTGTTATCCTCAAATCATTCCCAATACCTTCCAAATTTGACGCTGCAGAATACGTAGATGCAGTGTTATCCTGAAATCATTCCCAATACCTTATATTTTTACACCAATGTGCCCCTGACGAACCGAGAACAGTGTGTGCGGAAGTCGTAACATTTCATATTAAAGAAGACCATGCCAGGTAAGGTGGTCTGAGAGAATATGACTGGGCCAGGGTCACCCAGCAAGCTTCCGGGGAAAGGAGTTTGTAAACTGCTCGAAGACTCTGAGTGAGGGGCGGGGTATAAATCCAACTCCTCCTCCTGCTTCTGCTAATGAATCTGTGAAAGTTTGGATGGCTGATCGGCTAAAATCTTCTTGACAATTGTCCACAGCCCTATAAAACTAGGGATGTACCAGCAGCTATGGATTGGTATTTTATGGAAGAATAGATGGATTTTGCTGTGCAGCCTTGTGCTTCCATCACCAGTTGTGTATTATTATATTTAAATTTCACATATTTTTATATAATGTGTATTTAAATGTCATGTTTATCCAGTCTTTCTTCCAAGAAACAAGGTGTATTTTGAGCCCTTCCACTAAAGACGAGTGCCAAACTGGTGTTGTAGCTACATTTGCAGCCTCGGGCTGGAAAGACTTGGGGTCAGATCCCTGTCACTTCCTGAAGAGCTTTGGGCGAGTTGCTGTCTGCCAGCCCAATCCACCTCACGGGAATTTATAAAATGGGAGTGGAGAGGGAAATGATGTGTACCAGCCCGAGCTCTTTGGAGAAAGAGCAGAAAATGTCACACGCAAAGAACGGAACACAGCATTTTATCGAGCACTCTTTGTGGTTTCAAGCGCTTCACACACAATTGCCTCAGAATCCTTACCACAGCCCTACCGGGTATGCCAGTAGCATTATCTCCATGTGACGGACAGTGGGCTGAGGTGAAAAAGGAGTGCCCACGTCTAAAGCCCCAGAGTGAGTTTGTGAGAAGGAGGAGGTTCTCATTCTGTTCGCCACTGTGCCCCCACCAGCCGCTGTCAGGGGTGCGTGTAGAAGACAGGACAACAACAGAGGTGGTGGTGTGCCCTTAACCTATTGAACACTTGGACAGAGCTATGCTGTGTTAACAGCTCAGAATCCTTACCACAGCCCTACCGGGTATGCCAGTAGCATTATCTCCATGTGACGGACAGTGGGCTGAGGTGAAAAAGGAGTGCCCACGTCTAAAGCCCCAGAGTGAGTTTGTGAGAAGGAAGAGGTTCTCATTCTGTTCGCCACTGTGCCCCCACCAGCCGCTGTCAGGGGTGCGTGTAGAAGACCAGACAACGACAGAGGTGGTGGTGTGCCCTTAACATATCGAACAGAGCTATGCTGTGTTAACAGTGTTGTGGTCGCTGTTCCCTCTAAGCTGAGTTAGTGTAAGCTAGCCCACAGTTTTTTAGCCTCCGGCTCACACATTTCTATCTTAGCTCAGGACGGGTGGCTCCAGAGCAAACTAATTTCTGCAGTAGCCAAATTGCTCGCTCACCACTTTAATGCCAGTCGCTCACAAAGTAGAAGTTTTGCTCACAAGACTCCACAGCTTAAAGGGAACATTGGACTTGTGTTGTAACATGAAACGTACATTCACAGAGATCACTTCCATGTTTGAATTAGGGGGCGGAACCGGATTTGTGGGCCGAGCCTTAACGCAGCTGCTGAGGAGCCGTGGGCATGAGGTGACCGCTGTTTCCCGCCATCCCGGGAAGGACCGGATCACCTGGGTATGTGACAAGGTCTAAGCTTGAGCCAGGACTCAGGCGGGATTGGGTGAACTGTTCCTCTGAAGCGTGTGCTGTGTGTGAGAGCCACCGGGGGGGTTTAGTGGTCAGGGTGTTGAGCGAGGGTCTGGGGCAACAGGTTCAGTTCCCTAGTAAAGGTAAAGGTAAAGTTTCCCTTGCTGGAAAGCCAGTCGAGTCCGACTCTAGGGTTGCGGTGCTCATCTCCGTTTCAAAGCCTAAGAGCCAGCGCTGTCCGAAGACGTTTCCGTGGTCATGTGGCCGGCATGACTGAACACCGAGGCACATGGAACGCTGTTCCCTTCCCACCGAAGTGGTCCCTATTTATCTCCTTGCCATTTCTTGCTTTCGAACTGCTAGGTTGGCAGGAGCTGGAGCTAAAGATGGGAGCGCACTCTATCGTGTGGCACCCGGGTCTCGAACTGCTGAACTACTGACCTTCCACAGCCTGCAGTTCAGTGTCTTAACCACTTGAGCCACCGCAGCTCCCTACCAAGCCATAAAGTTGATTGGGTATCCCTGGAACCATCACTGGCCCAGTGAATTGTAGAGACAGAATGGATGAGAGAGGCAAATCACCTACACTGTTCTGAGCCCCTTAGAGGTGGCTAGTAAGTCTCAGCCGACTTGTGGCAACCCCAGCAAGGGGTTTTCAAGGCAAGAGATGAGCAGAGGTGGTTTGGCATTGCCCTCCTCTGCAGAGTGTTCCTTGGCGGTCTCCCATCCAAGTGCCGACCTCACTTAGCTTCTGAGCTCTAAGTAGATTGGGCTCCTTGCCCTGCAGGCCCGAGAGCCAGTTTGGGGTCGTGGTGAAGAGTGGCGGACTCTAATCTGGAGGACTGGGTTTGATTCCCCCACTCCTCCACGTGCAGCCAGCTGGGTGGCCTTGGGTCAGCCACAGTTCTCTCAGAGCTCTCTCAGCCCCACCTGCCTCACAGGGTGTCTGTTGTGGGGAGGGGAAGGGAAGGAGATTGTAAGCTACTCCGAGACTCCTTTGGGTAGTGAAGGGCAGGGTATAAACCCAATCTCCACCATCCACCACCTCCTCCTTTCTTCTTATTTCTTCCTCCTCCTATTAGGGCTGCTAACTCTCCCTCCAGAGGAGACTAGGGGGGCCGCCATTTATCGTCCTGGCCCTGCTCCCCAGCTGTTAACAAAACACTCTATTTAGTATTTGAAGCTGTAGCCAAAGAGTGATTAACACCTGGAAATCACTGCCACAGGAGGTGGCGGCAGCTACAGGCATGGACCGGCTTCAAAGGGAATTGGATAAACACGTGGAGTAGAGGTCCATCAGTGGCTATGGTATAGATAGGAACTCTCAGTCTGGGGCAAGTGATGCTCTGTCTTCTTGGTGCTTGGGGGGGGGGTCAACAGTGGGAGGGCTTCTAGTGTCCTGGCCCCACTGGTGGACCTCCTGATGGCACCTGGTGTTTTTGGCCACTGTGTGATGACAGAGTGTTGGACCAGATAGGCCCATTGGCCTGATCTAGCACTGGCTTCTCTTATGTTCTTACGTTCACTGTTCAGCTCCAGCTCAGGAAGAGTTTTGCATGCTGCATTTTTAGATGGGCTGCCGACATTCTGATCTGAGTGCTCCTCCCCACAGCAGGGCCTTTTCCGGAGTGGCCCCCAGTTCTGTCATGCTCGTTACAGGCAGTTTAGTAAGGTATTCATTGAATTTTTCACTGTCTATGGTTGCTTCCTAATGGTGGCAGATGGAAGACTGTGTGCGTAGAAAACTCTTGTAGGGAATCTCTGTTGCCTTTGCTTTTGTGGCATCCGGGAAACTGGAGAACCTTTGCTGTGTGGATGCAGCTGTGAAGAGCTTTTTGGTTTAACCTGAGACTCCCCAGCCCTAGCTGAGGTCTCATGCAGCTACAGCACATCTGCTCTTGCAGAACTAAGGGACAGATTTGGACTGGGTGGGAGAGCTGTGAGGTGTGTGTCATTTGAAAGACCTATTTATAAGATTATGCATGGGAAAGAGCAGGTAGGCAAAGAGGTACTTTTCTCCCTTTCTCACAATACAAGAACTCGTGGGCACTCCATAAAATTGCTGAGCGGTCGGGTTAGAACGGATAAAAGGAAGCACTTCTTCACCCAAAGAGTGATTGACGCATGGAATTCACTGCCACAGGAGGTGGCGGCAGCTACAAGCATGGACGGCTTCAAAAGGGAATTAGATAAGCATATGGAGCAGAGGTCCATCAGTGGCTATTAGCCACAAGGTATAGATAGGGGCTCTGGGGCAAGTGATGCTCTGTCTTCTTGGTGCTTGGGGGGGGGGGGTCAACAGTGGGAGGGCTTCTAATGTCCTGGCCCCACTGGTGGACCTCCTGATGGCACCTGGTATTTCTGGCCACTGTGTGACACAGAGTGTTGGACTGGATGGGCCTTTGGCCTGATCCAACATTGGCGTCTCTTATGTTCTTATGAAAGACCGGTCCTGTGTCTCCTCTTCCTTCTGCCCCCAGGATGAGCTTTCCCGTTTGGGGCTCCCCCCCTGTGAAGGTGCCGTCAACCTAGCTGGGGAAAACGTCCTGAATCCCCTTCGTAGGTAAGTCCCCGCAGAGGTGTAACTTCCAGATGAGTTCCCGTGGCCGTCGGTGTTGAATATAACTTTCCAGCCGCTCTTCTTGTTGTGTTAATAGTCATACTATTAGCGTACTACTAGCGTGCTAATAGCGTGAGGCAAAAAGGATGCCAGTTGTGATAAGCGTGGTGGGACCGGAGGAATCCCCAGTCTTGTTAAACCCGTGGAAGAGGCAGTGGACACCCAAGGGAGAGGGTGGGCACTGAGGCGGAGTGGGCGCAGGCACAAAACCTCAGGAGCTTCCCGACCTCCTGCAATGCACGGCCAGTTTCTGCTCTGCAAAAATACAATATAAAGCTTAGCAGTACATACAGAGTAATACAGTACTAGTTACAGACAAACGACAGAGTTCTAGTACACTATCCATTTGCGTGTCCTTCTTCAGGTTTGTCATTCTGTAATTATTTCTTCATTAGAATGAAGTGCAGCAAGCCATATTTCAAAATGCTAATTCCTATACGATTTTTTTGATGTACGCTCCCGCGCTTAGATTCTGGTGACTCGGGAGCTCCTATAGCAAGCTCTAATGTGACTGGGTCTACAGCATATCATAATTGGCTAAGCTTCCCTCAGTGAGAGCTTGCCATAGGAGCTCCCCAGTCACCAGAATCTAAGCGCGGTAGCGTACATCAAAAAAATCGTATAGGAATTAGCATTTTGAAATATGGCTTGCTGCACTTCATTCTAATGAAGAAATAAGAACAGAATGACAAACCTGAAGAAGGACACGCAAACGGATAGTGTACTAGAACTCCGTCGTTTGTCTGTAACTAGTACTGTATTACTCTGTATGTACTGCTGAGCTTTATGTTGCATATTGCAGTGTTATTGTTGTAATCTTGTTAATAATTGAATTCTAAACATTGCATGTAAAACCCAAGAAATATTGTTTAATTGTACACGGTGATTTACTGTTTTACTAGATATTATACACCGTGGTCCTGTTTGCTGCCAAAATACAAAGCAAACCTTTCTCCTCTGTGTTTGTTACCGGGAGGACAACTTAGCAGGCTCCTCTCGGGTGCGCATGCACCGCCGACGTCTGCATTGGGACGAGAATGGTTGTGACACCCTGTCGGTTTCTCTTACCGCTGCAGGTGGAGCGAATCCTTCCGCCAGGAGGTGGTCGCCAGTCGGGTGGAGACCACAAAGACTTTGGCGAAAGCCATTGCAGAAGCGGAGCACCCACCTCGCTCCTGGGTCCTTGTCACCGGCGTAGGTATTTAGCCCTGTGCTGAAGCGTGGTTTTGCTCCTGATTGGTTGGTTTTATCCCACCGGATGAAAGTACAGTGTCTCCTTTGTCCTGAGTACAACCGGTTTTGACTGTGTAATATGGCCCCCCAAAAAACCCCAACCACCTTGATGTCCTGGGCAGAACGCTGGCTGCAGCCTCTCACTTGCCTGCCTGGCCCCCCCCCCCCAATCGTTGCTGAGACACTGTGATGACATGGGATGCTCACAAACATTCCACCTGTACAGGGTGAAGGTGTCAGCATCAACATGTTGACTGGCGCTCTGCCACTGAGCCACAGTCCCCCTAGAGTCTTAAAAGAACAGGAAGATCTCCTAGAAATCATCTGTGCACCAGGGGCAAATGGGAAGATCTGCCCTACTACAGCCAAACACTGACCATCTCTTCCTGTGTCCTGTATCCCACCAAGGCTATTACCGGCCCAGCCACACCACCAAATACACCGAGAATAGTCCCGGCGGGGACTTCGACTTCTTCTCTCGTCTGGTGACCCGTTGGGAGGCCGCAGCTCAAGTCCCCGACCAGGCCACGCGCCAGGTGGTGGTGAGATCCGGCAAGTACATCCTCGGGGGTTGAAAGTTTCTTCTGAGGGAGCAGGCAGCGGAGCCATTCCTGACTGGCTGATGGGCCCCCAAATCCATTTAATCTTGCGTCGGCCCCAAGTTCAAGGGGACCGTGCCTGGGATAGGGGTCTGAGTCCTCCTTGCTCTGTTTTTATCTGAGGCAGTTTGGTATGTGAGGCATCCCCCCGTCCCTGGTTCACAAGCATCTTTTTCCATACCTGGGATAAACTCATAAAACAGGCCACCCTCCCCAGTCCTGTCTAATACGGACATAGTTCTGAAAAAAACCCCACATCCATTCTGAAATTCCATAAACATACCTGTCGCGGGAAGTGGCTAGCAAAGGCCTCTCGAGGCTGCCACCAGTGTTCCCTCTAAGCTGAGTGAGTGTGAGCCAGCTCACAGTTTTTTAGCCTCTGGCTCACACCTTTTTGTCTCAGCTCAGGAAGGAGGGCTCCAGAGCAAACTAATTAATGCAGTAGCCAACTCACTCGCTCACAGCTTTAATGCCGGTAGCTCACAAAGTAGAGTTTTTGCTCACAAGACTCCACAGCTTCTAGGGAGCATTGGCTGCCACCACTTTGGTAGGGGTCTCCTGGGGGAGGGCCCCGCGCACCCACCCACCCTACCCCTTCGTACGCTCTTTGCTAACAGGTTTCCCCTCATAAGTAACCGAATGAGGCGCGAAGAACCAGGCAGAGTAACAAAGTAGTTTTCTTAAAGAGATTTTTTAACAGCAACTGTAGTGCAAAAGCATGTAGGGACAAGTAGGGAAAATGAGCAAAGTAAAAGCAGGTAAATCAATAAATTAATAAATCCGGACACGCCTGGCTGTACTGTCCTAGCTCTCTCTAGGTCGGTGGTTCTCAACCTTCCTAATGCCGTGACCCTTTAATACAGTTCCTCATGTTGTGGTGACCCCCAACCATAAAATTATTTTTGTTGCTACTTCAGAACTGTAATTTTGCTACTGTTATGAATCGTAGTGTAAATATCTAATATGCAGGATGTGTCTCGGCTCCTAAGACCATCGAAAATTTGTGTTTTCCGATGGTCTTAGGCGGCCCCTGTGAAAGGGTCGTTCGACCCCCAAAGGGGTCGCGACCCACAGGTTGAGAACCGCTGCTCTAGGTCCTTGATCTCAGACTGACTCGCCCCTTTTGGACGAGGGATCCCTCCTTCCACGGCAGCCTCACCAGCTCTGCTCCCTGGGAGTGAACCCCGCCTTCCCACTCTGGGTAAGGCCTTTTATTCCTTCTTCCCAGGCACCACCCTCTGGCTCCTCTGCTAGTGTACATTTTCCCTCCAGATCCCCTCACAACCAGTCACAAGGTCCAGAGGGGACCTGGGAAATGTAGGCCCTGATAGCTACTCCAATACAGGCTTCCCTGGAGCCACTAGGCCTCCCTAGAGCCTATAGGCTGCGCTACAGTACCATATTCTACAGTACCATATTCTGTACCATATTCAGTACCGCGCTACAGTACCATATTCTGGTAATGGACTTGCAACTGAAAACTGAGCTACAGAACTTTCCGGGCCTTGGTAAAGTATACCCATTTCCCTCCCGTTTAGGGTTGCCAAATCGGACTTACCTCGCCGGTGGGGGACTCTGGGGTGGCTCCCGGAGCGTGTGCGCGCCGCATGCACGTCACAATTTTTATTTTTATTTATTTATTTATTTATTTATTTAACCTTCGATTTATATACCGCCCTAACCCCCCAATGGGGGTCTCTGGGCGGTTTTACAACTTGTAGTGCTAATCACTATTATGGATCTCTAACTATGGGCACATTCTCAGGGGTTGGGTAGGCCTACCTAGCACCCCGGTGGTGGCGGCTCTTCCTTCTGGTCTCCGGCTTCGGCTTCCGTTTTCCCCTCAAATGGCTGTGGCCCCGCCCCCAGCATGCCCGGCGTCATGACGTCATTTCCCTGTAACGTGCACGCTGGGGTGGGGTTTCACCCGGGGCCCGATTCCGCGGGGGCGGAAATCGGGCCTCCAAAGCGGGGGGAAATCCGTCCCCTGGGGGGACTTGGCAGCCCTACTCCCGTTGCTTATCCCCTGCCTGTTCCCCATGCTAATGTAGGATAGTGGTTCAGAGATGGAGCAGGTACCTGGGAAGCCTCTAGTTCAAATCGCGTCCCTGTGATGGCCTCACTGGATGGGGAGGGTAACTCCCCTTTTTAACCCTCATTCCCCAGCGTGTCGCTGTTTGCAATGGGGTTGCCAGCTTCCGGGTGGGGCCTGGAGATCTCCCGCTTTTACGACTGATCTCCAGCTGACAGAGATCAGCTCCCCTGGAGAAGACGGCTGCTTTGAAGGGTGGACTCTACGGCACTGTGCCATGCGGAGGCCCCTCCCCAAACCCCGCCCTCTCCCAAATCCACCCCCCAAAGTCTCCAGGGGTTTTCCAACCCAGACCTGGCAACCCTAGTTTGCTATACAGGAGTAATAATACTGGCCTACCTTAAAAATTGTTGTACTGAGCGAATAAGTGCAAAGTCTGGAACACTTTGCTTTGTCATATAAATGTTTATGATTGCTAGATAGAACAGCAAAATCCCCACTTGGTGGATAGTAAAAGCCACACAGTGGGGCCAGGTACAAAAGATTTTGCTTACCAAGTGAAGAATATCTCTCTTATATATAAAGCTCATTTCGTGTGAGTCCTGGAACACGCTCCCACAGGCTTTGGCCAGGAGACTTGTCGATCATAAGGTCTCGCCATCCATTGGTGACTGCGTGCCCATGTGTTGTCAACGTCCCACCCACCCTCCGATAGAACCACTGCCCAGCCTTTCCGACTCAGTAAGCTGCTAGGCGGCGGAGCAGGCGCATGCTCCGGCGGACAAAAGGGCTTGCTCGCCCGGCGCCCTGCCTTCTCGCCTCCTTCTCCCCTCCCTGGTGGCTGTTCCGGCCTCCACGGTGTGCCGCCTGCTGCCCTGACGCCGGCCTCTGCTGCTTCGCCAAACCCGCGCTCCTCCTCCCTCACTCTGCCTCTGTCAGGGGCTGTGGGCCAGGCTGGCGATGGTGCAGCCTTCTGTCCCGCCGCCGACTGCCTGCAGGGACCGGCGCACACCCGGCCCCGCACCTCCAGGTGGGTCAGGGGCTGCCTTGCACTCGGCCGGGGGTCTGGGAGGGGGGGAGCACGCCTCCTCCACGACGCCACGCTCACCCAGGCCCTCTGCTAGAAGCCCGTTGCATTTCGGGCCGCAACGGGCCTTCCTCCTAGTCCATGTATAAAGAAAACTCCAAATTGTACACACTGCCACAAAAATGTCGCTATTGCTTTGGTGGCCGAAGTGACATCTGGCATCTCGTGAGGCCATGTCGCTATCGTCCAGGGGTGCCTTTTCTGCCTGCCAAGCACAACCATTCTGAAGGCTGACGCTTCCACCCTGTGATGTGGTACAGGGAGCTGGCTGACAGCTTCATGCCTTTTCCCTCAAGTTTTCCATCATCCGCGTGGTGTAGGAAGAGTGGCTCACCTGGGTCAGGGCAGCTGAGGTTGGACTCCTCAAACCCACTGGGTGACCTAAGCTCTCTCAGCCTGACCTACCTCACAGGATGGTTGTTGTGAAGGACAAGGTGCATTGGGAGGGACATGATATTGTAAGCTGCTTTGGAGCCCTGTTGGGGAGAAATGTGGGGAATCAACGTCCCCCCTTCCCAGGTGGACAGAAGCTAGAGCTGAAGGGAGGAGGCAGTGGGGGGGGGAGCTGGAACAGCCAGTGATGAGGAGAGAGAAATAGATATAAATATACAGGGCTATTATTGGGCAGGAACGCACAGGAACGGAGTTCCGGCTGGCTCCCGAGTTGGCCACGCCCAGCAGGAGCTCATTAGCATAATAGGCCACACCCAACAGCAGAAACTCATTAGGATTGGCTACATTAGGGGTGTGTGGCCTAACATGCAAAGGAGTTCCTGCTACAAAAAAAGGCCCTGGGTTTTGACAACAAACAAGGTAAACAGAATAAGAAGCAAAAGGTGGGTGTGGCTGGATGAGCACACTTCTGGTGACATGGGGGTGCGGTCTAATGTGCTAATAAGCTGTGCTGTCACGGGTGTGGCCCAATATGCTAATGAGTTCCTGCTGTTGGGTGTGGCCTATTATGCTAATGAGCTTCTGCTGGGCTTTTTCTACAAAAAGAGCCCTGGATATATATTCCCATCCCCCAATGATTTATTATTGATTCCCCGTTCCCCCCCCCCGCCCCGTTTTGCTCCCAGGTGTCGTGTTAGGCAGAGACGGTGGAGCCATTGCCCAGATGCTGTGGCCCTTTCGCCTCGGCCTGGGGGGGCCCATCGGGTCGGGCCTGCAGCCTTTTCCTTGGATCCACGTGATGGATTTGGCGGGCATCATAGCCCATGCGCTGGAGCACGAGGGCGTCAGCGGGATCCTGAACGGCGTCGCTCCTTCCGCGGTCACCACCAGTAACAAGGATTTCGCCCAAGCCCTGGGATCAGCACTCCGACGCCCCGCCGTGCTGCCCCTGCCTGGCTTTGTGGTCTCCGCTGTCTTTGGTTCAGAGCGAAGCATCATGTTGCTGGAAGGGCAGCGGGTGGTGCCTGAACGGACCCTGGAGAGCAGTTACCATTTCGCTTTCCCCGACTTGCCCTCCGCCCTCCGGGACATTCTAACCTGATGGAGGGGAAAGGGGGGGACTAGCTTTAATAGCACTTTCTCTGCATGTTATAAAGGAAGGGAGAATCAAGGGCCGTTTCCTTTCTCCTTGGCTGTGAAGCCCTCACCGCGCCTTGTACATATAACGTTTTAGTAAGCTGTTCAAGAAGGTTTGTCCACTCATGCCCTGTTTGTGGGGAAAAAACCCTTTCTCGTTCTAGAACTATCCAGCAGTTTGCTCCATGGCAGTTTCTTTTTGCAGAATAAAATGTGTCGATGGTAGAAATGGTCTTGTGGGAAGCATTATCTGTTTGCTTGTCATACGGATGTTCTAAGCAGCTGTATGCTGAGTTAGACCCTTAGTCCATCTAGCTGAGCATTCTGATGGTCATCAGCTCTCTCTAGGCTCTGAGGCAGAGAAAAGACCTTCCCAACGCCCTGAAAACTGTAAATGGTGGCAATGAAATTCAGACCTTCTGCCTCCCCCAAGTGGTGTTCATGCTGTCTACCTACCACGTAGCAAAAAAATTTCAAAGCAGAGAAAGAGCAGTAGCGTTGTGGGCTAGTGGTCTTTCAGGGAAGCTTGTCTGCCGTTACTAAAATCTCCTGACTAAGTAGACCCTGCTATGCTTCAGAGGAACCCTTTTCCTGGAACCAGGTTTGAAAAGCACTGTTACAAGTGCTACCCAAGCAGGACTTCCAAATCAGGTATCCTAAAATGGGGGGAAAAACCCTCTCGATTAGGGCTGTGCGCTCAGTAAAAATCAAGGCAAATAAATACCCAGAAAATACCTTATTGGTATTTTGGGGTATTTATTAAGCTGAACTCAGATTAGCGAATCTGCTTGGCTATTAAATAGCTGAGCCTGAATAAAAGCCAAAAAAATCGGCTTTTATTTGGGTAGCTATACCTACACCGAAGCAGCGAGCTCACCTAGCAGGGCTTGCAAAAAGCATTTAAAGGGATGTTCCTTTTTTTAAAGGAATTTGCCTTCTTAGCTACTGCATCACACTGCTGACTCACATTCAGTGTATGGTCCACTAAGACCCCTAGATCCTCTTCGTACATTCTACTGCCAAGACAAGTTTCCCCATCCCATAATTCTGCATTTCATTTTTCCTACCAAAATGCAGAACTTTACATTTATCCTTGTTAAAAGAGTTTTCCAGCCTATCAAGACCATCCTGTATCCTGACTCCGTCCAACCATCTTTTCTGCTGGTGAAAAAAGGAAGGGTCACCTCTGACACACACACACACACCCAAATGTCTATGTTGGAGATTATGAGATCTGCAGGAACAAAAGCTGTGCAGGATGGATGGGAGCTGTAGTGAGGAGGAGAACTGGGCAAGACTGGTGGAAAAGGTGTCAGGATCCAACCCTCTCTTTCCAAGGACTGGACACCACCAGGATATGCTGCGACCAGTTGCCCGAGAAGAGAAGGGACAGAGTCTCCATGTCCTAAGGCAGTGGCCCTCATCAGTCATAACACACCCACCATGTTCCTATAACATGGGTGGCATGCTCTGGTGAGCTCTCTGGAACCTACTCAGAACAGTCATTCTGCTTCACAATACCCTAACGTTCTGAGCCTGAAAACACACTTCCAGAATGCCTTCTCGTTCTCCGGCTCCCGATAAGCACGGTCTTCCATGAAATTCCCTCCTCCAGTACAGTTCTCCTCTTTTTCTCGACCGCGTCGTCCTGCTGTGGTTCTTGCCGCAGGGCCTCCTGTTGAAGAACGCGTCCTCTGTAATGATGGAAAGCACTAAAATTTACTCCTCAAGTCCTCAACCCTAACAAAGCGTCCCCTAGGATCATCAGGGGGAAATGTGCTGTGGTTAAATCATCATTGGGTGGGAGTTTTCGATGAGCTCCCCACCTTTGGATTGGTCCAAAAAGGGAACTTCCTGCTTCTGAGGAACTATTGAAAATATGAACCAGACAGACGCTTAGTTTGTGTTACGTTATGCCAAGCCCAGATACCTGATGAGGCAGGTGTGGGGGATAAGGCTGCTCCATCTCCTAGATGAGGCAATATCTGAAGATTGTGTGTTTAGTTAACAAGAAAGTGGGTTTGGGGTTCAGTACTCTGTGGTTTCACCTTGTAGATTTCCCCAGTAGCTGCTTGTGTATGTGCATAGGATAAAGCCTTTACAATTTGTACCTTTGTCTTTGAGATACTTCCTGGGTTATTTCCCCTATGAACAAGTCAGATTAAGGTCTGATAAATGCCTGTTTATTAGTAAAGGTAAAGGTTTCCCTTGCTCGAAATCCAGTCGAGTCCGACTCTAGGGTTGCGGTGCTCATCTCTGTGTCCAAGCTGAAGAACCAGCGCTGTCCGAAGACGTTTCCGTGGTCATGTGGCCGACATGACTAAACACCAAGGCGCACGGAACGCTGTTACCTTCCCACCGAAGTGGTACCTATTTATCTCCTTGCAATTTCTTGCTTTCGAACTGCTAGGTTGGCAGGAGCGGGAACTAGAGACGGGCGCTCACTCCTTCATGCGGCACACCCGGGTCTCGAACTGCTGAACTACCGACCTCCCACAGCCTGCAGTTCAGCGTCTTCACCACTTGAGCCACCGCAGCTCCCTGTTTATTACCCAGCTCCCTGTTTATTACCCAGCTCCCTGTTTATTACCCAGCCATTAAAGGCAGGCAGTCGTCTTGCTTTACATGTCCCACTTACTGGTAACTTACCCTGTTTATGTTCTCTGTTAGTACGTCATCCTTTGTTTCAGTTAGTGAACCCATATGAAGGTTAAAGTTATTCTCCCCTCCTGATACGATCTCAATTTAAATAAATTTGGATCTCCCGAAGTTTTCCCTGTTTGGGCACTGAATGTGGCGAGCACTGGACGATCAAGGAAAGGTGTGAGCCCCTGGAAGGCTGGTGAGGTGGGGAGAAGAGACTAAGGTAGTTTTCCCAGTTCTGGGTTGGGAAATACCTGGAGATTTGGGGCGGGGGTGGAGCCTGAGGAGGGCATAAGGTTACCATTCCCCAATTTGGTGTGAGGGATCCCCCACTTTTGTGGACTGCTGCCTGCCACCGGCCAGCTGGTCAGCGGGAGGAAATTCCCCCCCCCCCTCAGAGCGATGTTGGGCAACATGCTGATGTCACCTGGAAATGACGTAGGCATGTTGGTAATGTCAGGGGGGTGATGTTCTGGTTTGGGGGCAAAACTCTATGGTTTGAGGGCAATTTTATCATAGAGTTTTGCCCCAAAACCAGAGCGTTGCCCCCGATGTGCCAATGCCACTTCTGGGTGACAAGTGACATCACTTACAGTGACGTCAGCAATTCAGGGGCGATGCTTCTGGCTCCTGGAGCGTCTCCCCCCACCCTCCCACTGGCGTCTCTAAAAGTCCCGGCAACCCTAGGAGGGCAGGGCTTCGGGAGTGGAGGGATTTCAATTGGGGTATAATGCCATAGAGTCCACCTACCAAAGCAGCCATTTTCTTCAGGTGAAATTATCTCTATTACCTGGAAATCGGTTGTAATCCCATGAGACATCCGGCCGCTACTTGGAGGCTGGCAACCCTGGCCTGAGGATGAGTTCACACATTACAACCAGACTTCTGGTTTTGGTGACTTCAATGGCAGTGCACTCCTTTGGAGCTCCGATAGGAGCAGCCCATGACGCGGCAGACGGGAAGGGTGCCGGGCAATTCCGCCCCCCCGGAGTCCTTGTAGGGGACTCCTAGCCTGGGGCGCAGGGGGTGCCTCTCCCAAGGCCACGACCAAGGGATCGAGGCTCCTCCTTGCCCCAACAGGTCCTGCCGCCACGGCACCATCATGGCACTAAGAGGCGTACATCGGACAAGCGAGCAGGTGATCTAGCGAATCTACAAAGCTCTCCCTACCTTTGTAGTTGGCATGGAATGAAGCGTGAGTCCCATTTTTTCCTTAACTGGCTGTGTGGTTAAGCGCCCATCCAAAGCCCCAATCTGTAGCGATGGAGGGGGAGGGACTTTGACCCCCCCACACAACTTCAGACAAACTGTTTAAGCGATAGAGGGGGCTAGTAGAAATGGCGATTCTGGATTGAATCAAGTAAAGCACAGATCCAACTTAAGCGACTCTTTAAATAAACTTTTGGCGATGAAATCGAAGTACTCTCCTGGAACTACAAGATCAGCACATCCGGCTGCCAAACTGGAAGTAACTACTGACTTTCCCAATATGTTGGCTACAGTACTGTGTTCTCTGTTGGACCAGATGACTAACCTTAATAATAACTTTGAAGTGCTCCAAAAGAAGCTGAAAGAGACGAACTTAAAAACAGAGGAAACGGCAAAATCAGTGAAAAAAGTTGAAGCCAAATGTAATTAAGCAAAGACTGGAGGTAGTGGAGAAAGAGAGGATCTCTGACAAAGATCAGCTTTTAAGACTACAGATGGAAAAATCAGCTTTTTCTCTGAGATTTCAAGGTGTTCCTGAACAGAAGAGTGAGAATCTGAAGGAAATCTTAAGTGAAGCGTTGGTTTTGGTGACTTCAATGGCAGGCGCACTCCTTTAGCGCTCCGATAGGAGTGGCCCGTGACGCGGCGGACGGGAGGGGTGCCGGACAATTTCGCCCCCCCCCGGAGTCCTTGCAGGGGACTCTCAGCCTGGGGCGCAGGGGGTGCCTCTCCCAAGGCCACGACCAAGGGATCGAGGCTCCTCCTTGCCCCAACAGGTCCTGCCGCCACGGCACCATCATGGCACTAAGAGGCGTACATCGGATGAGCGAGCAAGTGATCTAGCAAATCTACAAAGCTCTCCCTACCTTTGTAGTTGGCATGAAATGAAGCGTGAGTCCCATTTTTTCTTAACTGGCTGTGTGGTTAAGCACCCATCCAAATCCCAAATCTGTAACGATGGAGGGGGAGGGACTTTGATCCCCCCCACACAACTTCAGACGAACTGTTTAAGCGATAGAGGGGGCTAGTAGAAATGGCGATTCTGGATTGAATCAAGTAAAGCACAGATCCAACTTAAGCGACTCTTTAAATAAACTTTTGGCGATGAAATCGAAGTACTCTCCTGGAACTACAAGATCAGCACATCCGGCTGCCAAACTGGAAGTAACTACTGACTTTCCCAGTATGTTGGCTGCAGCACTGCGTCCTCTGTTGGACCAGATGACTAACCTTAATAATAACTTTGAAGTGCTCCAAAAGAAGCTGAAAGAGACGAACTTAAAAACAGAGGAAACGGCAAAATCAGTGAAAAAAGTT